CCTCCCCTCCTTTCCCTTTCCTTCCCCTCCCATCACCAGCTATTCCTACTTCTTTTTTGCTCCCCTCCCATGTATTTTTCATACAGCATCTAGACTTTCACAAAATGTAAATTGGTTTACATATGATGTCTAACTCTGTCTAAGAGGTCCTATATGGTCTGCCCACAACTTCCTCTCAACTTCATCACAAACACCGCGCTTTATGTGTAAGGCTCTCGAACTGAACGAGAGCCTTCATTAGACAGATTAGACTTTCCAACCTCAGAGCTTTATAAGCCGTGACTTACCCTAACCTGGCTGCTTATACTTCAGCTGTCCTTCAGGATTCTTCTTGTCCAGGTTACCATCGTCCTCTAAACATGATGCTGACATATGTAGCACCTCTTCTTTCTGTTCATATAGCAAATTTCCAGTTTCTCCATGAGACCTTGAGTTCCTTGAAGTCAGAAACTATATCTACAATACATTTGCATATCCCAAGAGGCTAGCATAGTGATTGCTTCTAGTAGGTATTTAATGAATACTTGAACATGAATGAAGGTGCAAGTTCAGATCTTTGGGAAAGATTGCAGCAGTAGTAACCTCACTAGTGGAGTGGATAGAAGCTAAAAAAGAAACAGGTTCAAGGCTTGGCACTGACAATAACATTCTTCTGACCTGTAGTTTCCTCACCTTGTCTCTCTGTATCACCAAAGTTTTGATATCTCTAATTCTTATATTAAAATTAAAAACATAGGCTCAGTGCTTGTAGCTCAGCAGCTAGGGCACCAGCCACATACACCGGAGCTGGTGGGTATGAATCCAGCCCAGGCCTGCCAAACAACAATGATAACTACAACCAAAAAATAGCTGGGCATTGTGGCGGGCACCTGTAGTCCCAGTAACTTGGGAGGCTGAGGCAGGAGAATTGCTTGAGCCCAAGAGTTTGAGGTTGCTGTGAACTGTGATGCCACCAGCACTCTACCGAGGGTGACAAAGTGAGACTCTGTCTAAAAAAAAAAAAAAGATTAAGAACTTATATATTATTATTTTAAAAAATAATTTTATAGAGACAGAGCCTTGCTATGTTGCCCAGGCTCTTGAACTCCTAACTTCAAGCAATTCTCCTCTAGCCTGAGTGTCTCAAAGTACTGGGAATACAAGTAAGATTAAGAATCTGTATTATTACAGTTGCATTTCTTAGTACTCCACCGCCAAATTCCCTCTTTGGGTTACAAAATTTATTAAATGAGATTTAATATAAAGTTTTTGTCTGTCTTTCCTTCCCCTGCCTTCCTCCCTCCCTTCCTTCCTTCCTTTCTTTCTTACAGAGTCTTTTGTATGGGCTAAAGTGCTCTGAAGTCATCACAGATCAACTTCAAACTCTTACCTTCAAGTGATCCTCCTGCTTCAGCACCCAAGTAGCTAGCAGTACAGCTACTTGGGAGTCTGGTCATGTTCCTCAGGCTGGTCTTAAACTCCAGGGTTTCTGGGCTCAAGCAATTCTCCCCCATTGGCCTCTCAAAGTCCTAGGATTATAGGTGAGCCACTGTGCCCAGTATCATTTTTTAAAACTTTTAATTACGAAAAATTTCAAACCTAAACAAAAGTAAATATCACAATAGACATCCATGTACCTTTCACCAGCTTACACAATTATCCTCTCATCGCTTTAATTGCATTCCTAGCCCCACCTACTTCCCCTTCCCATTACTTTGAAGCAAATCCAGAAGTGATATCATTTTATCTGTAAATATTTTTGATATGTGTGGAATAGCATTTTCAGCTGCAAGCTGACACCCTTTCTGTTCTCCAGTGGATTAAAAAGTGAGGTGTTCATGGAACAGCATGTAGTTCTTGCAAGAAACTAGATAACTAGCATGATGATATTATTTCATGACTTAACAAACTGGTTAGGTTCTTTGAGGGGTCTTGTGGGGTAGTAGGTATTACAGCACCCTGCTCAGTGCCTTGGAATCAATAAGTAGAGACTGAATGAAAACTATTTAAAGAAAAACTTAAGACAAACTAAGTTTAACAGAGTTTAATTGAATAAGAAACAATCTGAGAATTGGGCACTCCCACAAACAAGAATAGGTTCAGAGCAACTCTGGGTCTGCCACATGCTCAGATAATATTTATGGAAAGAAAAAGGAAAATGATGTGTGGAAAACGAGAGTGAGGTACAGAAATAGCTGACTTAGCTACAGCTGGCATTTGACTTATTCCAACTGCTGGCTACCTGTGATTAGCTGAAACTCTGTTATTGGAACAAGAGCAGGTTATATCTTGTTTATGCATCTATTTAGGCTACAGTTCATTATGTATGGAAAAACCATTAGGATGAACTTAAAATATGTAAAGGGGCAGCTTTAGGCTAAACTTAACAAATTTTCCTTTTTGGTTTACCTCTCAATTTTGAGAGACGGATCAAAACTTTAGGCATCGTGTACGTCACTCTGTCACCATAGGAAATGGACTTATTTGGTCTCAAGTGCCCCCGGGAAATAGAATAGTGGATTTTATAAGGTGCGAACAGGAAAAAGAACAATAGGACAAACCCAAGTTACTTCAGGTTCCTTTTTTGTAAGGTTGGGTGGGGAGAGGGACTTCCTTATTATGGTGAAATCTGTTTCCAGAAAGTAAAAAACAAACAAAACACTGGCCTGTTTTGGGACCTCACTGCTCCTTTAAAATTTCAGTTTTATTATGTAGCATTTGCTATAAGTGACTCCATTTTGGTTTGGTCTTGTGGGGGCCTCAGCAAAAGCTCAGTCCACAACAATGGCCTCCCATGATTTTGTTTAACAAAATAAATCCAATATGATCTAGGTTTTTTAATATCATCTTATTCATAGGAGTCTAAGGCCTTGTCCTGCTTCCTTGCTTCTGACCCTTTTCCCAATTTTCAAATTTTATTAACCCCCGGGATAGACTAAATTCTTCACTACTTGGGGCGACAAAACAACTTCTCCTGGCCAGGGCGGGACTCACGCCAAGGGGCGGGGTCTCACATAAGCCCCGCCCAAGTCACCTCACCGCCCTCCTCCCCTAGTGGTTCAGCTTTTCTTCCCGGCAGCCCTAACGCTAGTCGGAACTCCTCAAGATGGCGGCCGACAGTGAAGTGAGTTCTTAGCTCCTTACTTATCTCTGTCACTGTCTTAAATTCGTTCCTCGGCGTCGTTTCCCAGGGCTCAATCTCTTTCTTTCCATCCTCTTCCCGCAGCCCGAGTCCGAGGTATTTGAGATCACCGACTTCACTACTGCCTCGGAATGGGAGAGGTGAGTGAGTCGTATCTTTGGTTACCAGCACTTTAGGCCCCTGTGTCCCCCAGGCGCTCCCCTGACTCGGCCATACCACGTGTGACGCCACTTCTGCGGGAAAAATAAGACCCGTGGGCCCGGGGCCTTTGTCCCCTCTCTTCTGGTCAGCTGCAAGTCTCTTCCGCATCTGGCGTCTGACAAGCCCCGGCCCGCCCGCGTCAGCCAAACCCTTGAGACTCAAGCTCTCATAAAAAGTTTGTTTGCTCTACTCTCAGACCACTTTGCTTAAACCTTGGATTTTCTGGTTGTTGCCCACTTGAAAGAACAGTTTCCAAAGCTCTCTCTGCTATTTCTGTTTTCTTTTCCGTTTAACTCATATTGTTATTTATAAGCAGTACGTTTCGTAGATGTGTTTGTCATTTCGTCTACATCAGTATATCCTTTTCAGGCGCAGACCTGTTTTTAGAGTATTGCTGGTTGACCATCTGCACACTCCCACCATCTCCCTCCTGTCTTTCAGAATAATCTTTTTAAAAAGTCAGCCGCTGGATTTGGAGCGCTTTAATTCAAATTGTTACATTCCAGTGAGTAATGTGCCCAGGCTTCCTTTGCCTGTCAAACTCAGGTGGACAGCTGTCTGAGTGAAATTGTTATAACACTAAAATTCGTTGAAAGCCAAGTTTGTGGAAGAGTGATAGTGTAGATCGAGCAGTTGTCTGTTCTTTGTTGCAGAAATTCTTCAATTTTCTGGGTGCTGAGGTTATTTAGATTGTTGCAACGTTTTATGATCTTTTAGGTTGGGAGAGGAAATTTGTGATGTCATGCCATTAGATGGCACGGGAAATTATGAAAGATCTTTGCCTGAATAATAGTTTGACCTGTGGTACTCCCTCTAAAACAAGAGTCTAAATGCAAGTAAGACTGCACTGAGCAATTACTGTGTATCCAAAGCTGTAAACTAAAGGAAAAACAAAAACTTGATCTGTATGTTAAGAAAAAACAAACCAGCAAATAATTAAAATGTGAGCTGATTAGTAGCAATGATATTTGTGGGCTGCAATAGTTGGAGGTATTTTTGCAGAACAGAAAAGGCAGGAAATGAGCGGGTCTTTGAAAGTACAAAGTGGTTGGTTAGACATGAGAATGGACTGACAAATAGAACCTTTGGGACTTTATGAAGAGATCTGTCTTCACTGGAGTAAACCTTCTATTGAAGGGAAATAAGGAAGATGGGATCAGGTTCTGGACAGCCTCTAAAGGAATCCAGATCCTGTGCAGGTTCCACCCTGCGAGATTCTAATTCTGTAGGTAGGTGTGAACTGGGAATCCAAAATTTGCTTTCTGCCTTGACCCCAGATAACACTGATACTGCTGGTCAGAAGACCATACTTAGAAAGAACCACTGGTTAAGACAATAGTAAGAGACCTTAAGTTTAGAATGGCCAGGTGATATGATGAAAGTGATTTCAGGACATCAGATAAAATAAAGGTGAGAAACTTAACCTTGATTCATAGTTAGGATGGTGATTGGCAGACTGGAGGGAAATGGAGTCTAGGAGGAAGGATTGTAAGATAATTCAAAGAAGATTTGGATAGGTAAGCATGGTGATACATGAAGAATTAAACATGGAACTACAGTTTTTTGCCTGAAAGAATGAAGATAAGGAAGTGTCAGAGTGAGAAGAGTACATTTGTGGGCCTGTTGAATTGGAATAATTGTCTTGAAGGTAGTTAGAAAGATGTAATTCAAATTTTGGGGAGTTGGGATGAGGGACCATCAGAGTTTTAAATGAAAAAATGATCACTTCCCCTAGTTAAATATTTAAAATATCCTGATGTGGATTATTATTATTTTTTTTTTTTCTGCAGTTTTTGGCCAGGGTTGGGTTTGAACCCGCCACCTCAGGCATATGGAGCCGGTGCCCTACTCCTTTGAGCCACCTACTCCTTTGAGCACCACCTGCTGATGTGGATTATTAAGTCCTTTAGTTCTGTGTAGGAAAATATGGTTAACACAGTTATGAGAACTATTACAAAGCAGGAAATTTGGTTTTTGACTTTTATTCTCTAGTTTGTAGAGTGAAACTGTTGTTTTGCAATTTGTGAGAAAAATGTTGAGACTTTGGAGTCTCTTAAACCTTGAATTTAATGTTTGTTTGAGACAGAGCCTCAAGCTATCCCCCCCACAGCAACCTCCAACTCCTGGGCTCAAGAGAGTCTCCTGCCTCAGCCTCCCAAGTAGCTGGGACCACAGGTGCCCGCCTCAACGCCCGGCTATTTTTTTTGGTTGCAGCCGTCATTGTTGTTTTGGTGGGCCCAGGCTGGATTCGAACCTGTCACCTTAGGTGTATGTGGCTGGCGCCTTAGCCAGTTGAGCCACAGGCACCGAGCCAAATTTAATGTTTGAATGAAAGTTCTTATCAGTGTGTTGTGAACCATACAGACAATTTATTGAGGGGACTCACATAAAAGCTCATAACTTTTTACCATTTACACATCTCCATTGAATATCTCCATTGAAGAAGTACTTAATTGAATGCCCGTGTATCAAGCTCAGTAAACAACATTAGGGATGTGGTGGTTAATAAAAACAGATAATGGTTTCTGCTTTTTTTTTTAGAGACAGAGTCTCACTTAGTTGCCCTTGGTAGAGTGCGGTAGCGTAAAATAGCTCACAGCAACCTCAAACTCTTGGACTCAAGCGATTCTCTTGCCTCAGCCTCCCTAGTAGCTGGGACTATAGGTGCCTGCCACAACACTTTGCTATTTTTGTTTGTTCATTTGTTTAGCAGTCCTGGGCGAGGTTTGAACCCACCAGCCCCTAAAACATGTGGCTGGTGCCCTAACCACTGAGCTACAGCACCCAGCCAGTTTCTGCTCTTACTGAATGTAGCAGGGGTCCTCTGACTTAAATAGGGGGCCTGAAAGTTCACTGTCCCTCAGACCGTTGGAGGGCCAGACTGTGCTCCCCCCCCCCACAAGTCGGCTGCTGAGCAGGATAGGCAGCAGCTGCAAAAAACACCCTGCGGGCCACATGTGGCCCATGGGCTATAGTTTGAGGACCCCTGGTACTATAGTGGAAGAGACAAACAAGAATCGAATACTACAAATGAGGCTGAAATTACCAGTTTATATAAGAGCTAGGAGGGGAAGGAAACTTGATTTTAGAAGGAAACTTGATTTTAGAAGATAACAAAGGAACCAAATACAGAATAAAGAATAAGGAAATGTGGCTTGGCACCTGTGGCTCAAGTGGCTAAGGTGCCAGCCACAAACACCTAAGGTGGCGGGTTCAAATCCAGCCCGGGCCCGCCAAACAACAATGACGGCTGCAACCAAAAAATAGCTGGGCATTGTGGTGGGTGCCTGTGGTCCCAGCTACTTGGGAGGCTGAGGCAGGAGACTCTTGAGCCCAGGAGTTGGAGGTTGCTGTGAACTGTGATGCCATGGCACTCTATCCAGGGGGACAGCTTGAGGCTCTGTTTAAAACCCTCCCCTCCCCAAAAAAGAATAAAGAAATGAACCTTCAGCTAAGACCTAGAGAGCTTTTAAGGAAAAAAATTACTTAATTTTTCTAGTCAAATATCAATACTTGTGGGCTAGGGTCCAAATTTTCTTCTTTAGCTACTATTGATAGAATTTATATAGTAAGTATAATGTTCCTCCTTTTGGGCAGTGCTTGTGGCTCAAGGAGTAGGGTGCCAGCCCCATATACCAGGGGTGGCAGGTTTGAGCCCAGCCCTGGCCAGAATTGCAAAAAAAAAAAAAAAGAAAGAAAAAGAAAAGAAATAGTCCCTTATTAAATTATTTTTAAAAAAAAAAGTTCCTCCTTTTACTGTGAAAGCTATATTTTAAATTATTGTTACATTAACAATAATACCTCATTAGTAAAATAAAAAATAAAAATCACCTATGAACTTAAAACCAGGAGATAATTGCTAGTAATTTATTTCCTTCTAATGTGTATCTGTTATGAACTTTTTGGATCAAATCATTAATAATTTCTGCAGCTTTCATTTTTCATTTAACATATGAACATTTTCTTATTTCCTTAAACATTCCTCAGAAAATTTTTAATGGGTGCATATTAGTCCATCAAGTGGATATTTCATTAGTTTATTACTGCCGCAGTTGGACTTTAAGGTAGCTTCCAGTTTTTTACCTTTATAAAGGCAGTATACATTGCATGTAAATTTTTGCTCATCTATAGATATTTAAATTTTTTCTTTTTTGTAAATTGGTAAACTTATTTCTTGAGTACTCATTTTCAGAACTAATGATTGTCATTTAACTCCTATAAAAGTGAATTAGTGCTTCCTTTAATTTTAAAGAGGAATTAGAAGCAATTGAATTATAAAATGATTATTACTATCATTGTTATATTAAAACGTGTGAATATTAATTTGTAATGTTACTGAAGGAAAAAGCTTGAATACAGTATTACTATAATTAATTCTAGTAGTACTTCCTAGATATTTTAGGGAGCACTGTTGCTGTTAGATTGCATCATACTTATGTAGGAAGTCAGCTTCTTAGGATAATAAAAAATCTGCTAAAAGATGTCTCTTAATATGTATTTAATACTGCTATTGAGATTTGACAGTTTGTGTTTGCTGATGGTGAGCGCATGTTACCCAAATTTCAGTTCTCTTTTTAAGAGATCTTGCTCGTTGGATTTAAAGATTAGATAGTGAATTGTTTTAAAATCTGTCGATTGTTCCTCAAAGCTGACAAATCCGCTTGTAATCACTTTTTCTTTTCTTTTTTTTTTTTTTTTTGAGACACAAGCTGTCACCCTGGGTAGAGTGCTATGGCATCACAGCTCACAGCAACCTCAAACTCTTGGGCTTAAGAGATCCTCTTGCCTCAGCCTTCCCAGTAGCTGGGACCATAGGCACCCGCCACAACACCTGGCTATTTTTTGGTTATAGTTGTCATTGTTGTTTGGTGGACCCAGGCTGGATTTGAACCTGCCAGCTCCAATATATGTGGCTGGTGCCCTAGCAACTTGAGCTACATCGCTGAACTTGCTTGTAATTTCTTGTCAGCTATCTCTTAAAACTTTAACGACGGTGCCCTCAGTGGGTAGGGTGCTGGCTCCATATACGGAGGGTGGTGGGTTCGAACCCAGCCCCAACCAAACTGCAACAAAAAATAGTCAGGCATTGTGGCAGGCACCTGTAGTCCCAGCTGCTCAGGAAGCTGAGGCAAAAGAATCACCTAAGCCCGGGGAGTTCGAGGTTGCTTGTGAGCTGTGACTCTACGGCACTCTACCAAGGGTAACAGTGAAACTCTGTCTGGAAAAACAAAACAAACAAACAAACAAAAAAACTTACTTTAACTGAATGAGCAAAATTCCAAATAATGTTTTCTTTTGGGGGGGAAAGGGGCAAATCAGGGAATTCCTAAATATATGTAAAGGAAAAGTTAATTAAATAGGTCAGTTATTTTGAGGGTAGGGGAGAGATGATTGGTTTCCCAATTATCTTTAATAGTATCATTTTAGGGCAGCACCTGTGGCTCAAAGGGGTGGGGTGCTGGCCCCATATGCCAGAGATGGTGGGTTCAAACCCAGCCCCAGCCAAAAACTGAAAAAAATAAAATAATAAAAACTGTTTAAAAAAAAAAATAGTATCATTTTAGTCTGTCAGTTTTTACTTCTGTCCTAATTTATGGTATCCATTTTAATGGAGTGCTTTATTAATTTACAACTTACATATTATAGAAGACAATGCTTTTATTGGGTAAGCAGTAGACATAAATGAGTCATAATCAGTGAATTCTTGAGCTAAAGATTATTTCTATTTTTATTTCATTTCCATAAATTAGGTTAACATTCATGCACTAAACTTATGGACCCATCTCTGGTCAAAATGTTAAAATATAAAAAGTGGGCTCGGCACCTATAGCTCAACCGGCTAAGGCACCAGCCACGTACACCTAAGGTGGTGGGTTCGAATCCCCAGCCCGGACCCGCCAAACAACAATGATGGCTGCAACCAAAAAATAGCTGGGCGTTATGGTGGGCGCCTGTGGTCCCAGCTACTTGGGAGGCGGAGGCAGGAGACTCGCTTGAGCCCAGGAGTTGGAGGTTGCTGTGAGCTGTAATGCCATGGCACTCTGCCCAGGGGGACAGCTTGAGGCTCTGTCTCAAAAAAATAAAATAAAATATAAAAAGTACCTTTTTAAAGAAATTGTATGACAAAGATTATTTAGAACACTTTCGCCTTTTTTCTTAGGTTTATTTCCAAGGTTGAAGAAGTCTTGAATGACTGGAAACTGATTGGAAACTCTTTGGGAAAGCCACTTGAAAAGGTCAGATCTATTTGCTGGTGTCTCTAAATGAGTATTTACTTTGAATCTTCTATTTTCCAACTCTTTGCTGCATTTGACACATTGTTTTTTAAAGTTATGTATAATCCATATAAATATCAAATGGCATCTGGAAGAATTTGGATTTGAATCTGTGACAAATGATACATGTAAGACATTTGTGAAATATTTTTTAAATAATAAAGTTTTATGTATAATATCCTTTGTGAGTGATTTTATTTGTTTCTCTTGATGTTTACTTCTCTTTTGCCTTCTTCCTTGGGATGTTAAAAAATCTTTTTTCAGGGCGGTGCCTGTGGCTCAAAGGAGTAGGGCACTGGCCCCATATGCCAGAGGTGGCAGGTTCAAACCCAGCCCTGGCCAAAAAAGAAAAAATGAAAAATCTTTCTTCAAGTTTTTTTAGTTGGATTTTTTAGTTGGTAGCAGAAGCATGGCTTCTTGGATAGAATATTTTGCTTAACTAATGAGGAAAAATCTAGATTTCACCACTGACAGCTATTTTACTCAATTTTTGTATTTTATTTTACCACTAATAACATTCCCCCATTCCTGCCTTTATAACTTACTATGTTTTGAGGATTTTATTTCAGAATGAAAAAATTACCCTTTAAAATTGATATGGAACTCTAATACTAATTCAAGATATTGGTAATTTACTCATAAACCATACTCTAAATGTTTGCTAGAGATTATACTCCGAGAAATAAACCTAGATTTTCTGGATTCACTGAAGGAGTTTTAACAGTTTGATTTTGTTGGTTAGATAATTCTTTGATTACTATTACAAATCTATTAACTCAATAATAACTACAGTTTATTCCTCTGTAAGGGACTCTTAATTCTCAGTATTTGCTAGAATTTTTCAGCTTTTATGGTGGTGATAACAGAATTTGAAAGTATCAAAAAAAAATTAGGGTAACCTAATTGCATGTACCCCAATACTAATCTTAAATTTGAAAAAAAGCATTATGATTTTCTTGGTTATCCACATGAATATAAGCAGAAAAAGTGGGTTCATGGGAATATAGAGAGAAAATTGATTTACTATATTAAAATACTACATTTTTGAATAAAGAAAAAAACGAGTTATCAAACAAGATCATTCTATTCCATTTGACAGATACATTAATGACAATTGGTATAGATGTGATAAGTTTAAAGGCAAAATAAACAGGGAAAATTTATACTACCAGAAAGAGAGCTAAACTGGGTACTTGTGAGCTGTGATAGTCTTTTTTGTTTTACCCATATTTACTGAGTACCAGCTATGTGCCCCAGATGTGAAGAAACAATGAACAAGATCTGTGTTGTCACTGAATGTAAATTCTAGTGAGGGAGATAAGTGATAAAGAAGATTAAAATTTATTTTTTATTTTTAATTGATATGTAATAAACTTATTTTCAGGGTACTTGTGATAATTTAATAGATTCATACAGTCAAATCAGAGTGATTAGGATATTCACCACCTTAAATATTTATCCTTTCTTTATGCTAGGAACATTTAGATTCTCTATTTTGAAATGTACAATTGATTAATATTGACTGTAGTTACCCTGAAGGATTAAAATTTTATTTCATTTTATTTTTTATTTTTTTAGAGACAGTCTGACTTTATCACCCTCAGTAGGGTGCTGTGGTGTCACAGCTCACAGCAACCTTCAACTCCTGGGCATAGGTGATTCTCTTGCCTCAGCTTCCCACGTAGCTGGGACTACAGGCACCTGCCACAATGCCCAGCTATTTTTTGTTGCAGTTTGGCCGGGGTGGGTTCAAACCTGCTACCCTCGGTATATGGGGCCAGCGCCCTACCCACTGAGCTACAGGCACCGCCCCAGGATTAAAATTTTAAATGCTAAATTCAGTTTTCAGATTTAAATGTATTTAAAATGGGTGGGTAGCATACTGCCAAGCATGTAGTAGGGGCTAACAGAAGGTTAGTTAGGTTAGTGGTACAGGTTAGCCCCAGTAGATAGTAGATACTGAAAATGTGAGTAGATTTCAAGGTGACTGTAACTATGATGAATATGATTGAAGGAAGTATAAAGGACAAAGATTGTTTGGCACAGAAAAGAAAATTTAGAGCATACCTTAATGAGAGATTTTAATTTGTATGAAGGTTAGTAATACTAATTTTCTTCCTCCACTGAGGGGGAATTAAGAAATTATTTTTCTAAAACCTTTAATTATGGAAGGTTTCAAACATGAACAAAATAGTGTAACAGACCTCCATGTGCTCATTTCCCCATGTCAACAATTCATATTCTGCCATTTCGTATTTCAACAGTATCTCTGTCCACTCCTCCACCTCCGCTAGATTTTTAATAGTTTTTTAAAAATAAAATTTGTATACGTTGTAATGTACAAAACTGAACTACTCAATGTTTACAAATGTTCACACTGGGATAATTCACACACCTGTCAAGATATAGGACATTTGTGTCATCCCAGAAAAATCCCTAGTGACCTTTGCTGGTTAATCTTGCTCCCAGGTATCTGCTGGGTTCTCTTTCTTGTTTGTTTTAACCAGAGATTACTTTCACTTGCTCTAGAATTTCATATTTATGGTATCATATAGTATGTCCTCTTGTGCCTGGCTTTTATTCACTATGATGTTTTTTGAGGTTCCCCTAGGTTATTGCACATGTGAGTATTTTATTTCTCTTAATTGCTGTGTGGTAAGTAGTCTATTATTTAAACAAACCCTGGTTTCTTTTACTTGTTGACAGACATATTGACTATTATGAGTAAAGCAGAACATTATTGTATGAGGCTTTTCGTGGACTGCTGTTTTATTTGCCTTGGGTAGATACCTAGGAGTGGAATTATTGGGTAATAGGATAGGTGTATGTTTAACTTAAATTGCTAGAGCTATTTCTACTATTTTATGGACAAGATACGTGAGAGTTTGGGTTGCTCTATGTTGACACCAACAATTGGTTGTTTTCACTTTTATAAATTTTAGTTATCCTACTGAGTATGTAGTTTGTGCTTTTAAATTATATTTCTCATTGTGGTTTTAATTTTTATTTCTGTAATGAATTCTGATGTTGACCACCTTTTCATGTGCTTATTATCCATTTGTATGTCTTCCTTTGTGAAATGTACATTCCAAAGTTCTTTGTGACCATTTTTTAAATTTAATTGTGTTTTTATTGAGTTGTAGGAGTTCATTTAGTTCTTTTTTGTATTCTCTTTTTAAGTCTTTTCTCAGATAATAGTTTAGCTAGATTATGGAGATGTTTTTATGTTTTCTTCTAGAAAGTTTATCATTTATAATCGAACTTTTGTTTAGATCTCTGATTCATTTTGAATGACTGTTTATGGTTATGGTGTGAGATAGGGATCAAGGTTCATTTTTTTAAATATGGATATCCTGTTCTAGAACTTTATTTTGAAGACACTTCTTTTTCTATTGAGTTGCTTTGTCACCTTTGGTGAACAATTGACCTAAAAGGCCTATTCTGGAATCTGTATTCTGGTCCATTAACTTATTTGACTGTCTTATGTCAGTAAAGTATTACTTTGATTATCCTAGCTTAGTGTTTCCCAGCCTTGGCACTGTTGATATTTTTGGCTGGATTATGCATTATACAATATTTAGCAGTTTTCCTAACTTCTACTTACTAGATGACTATAGTATGCTCCCAGTTGTAGCAACCAAAATTGTATCCCAACATTACCAAGTACCAACTGAGGCACAAAATTGCCCCCAGTTTAGAATCACTGAATAGCTTTTTGTACATTCTTAAGTTAGTTAATTTAAATTCTCAAAAACTTCTGTTATTTTCCCAAGATTGTTTTGTCTATTTTAGGTTCTTTAGTTTTTAATTATGAATTTTAGAGTAGGTTTGCCAATTCCTATAAAAAAGATTATGATTATGCTGGGATTGTAATTAGGATTGTGTTGAATTTTTAGATTATGTTGGGGAGAAGTGAAATTTTAACATTCTTGGAACTTCCAGTTATGCTTATGGCATATCTCTCTACTTATGTCATCTTTAGTTTTTCTCAGTAATATTTTGTAATTTTTGGTTGAAGTCTTGTACATTTTTAATAAATTTTTTGCCAAGTATTTTATGTACTATGATGGAATTATAAATGGATTTTTTTAATAGTTTTATTTTCCAATTGTTTGTTGCTAATCCATGGATATACAGTAAAATTTTGTATGTTGACTTTGTATCTCCAGGCATGGCTTAACATACTTACTGATCATGCCACGTTTCCCCGAAAACAAGACCTACCCAAAAAATAAGCCTTCCCAGGATTTCTATGCATTTCTTAAATATAAGCCCAACCCTGATAATAAGACCTAGTGATGGGCGTGGCTATGCAGCATTTCAGCCGAGTAGTAAGGAAGACTGGAGTACCTTTTATCTGCCACAGCTCCTTTCTCCCATCTGGTCGCACTTGTACGGGTGCACGGGTGGTAACCTCGGTCACAGGCATCCTATTGTGCACATGCGAACTTGCGAACAGCTGGGGAAAGGAGTTCATGCATCGCTAGCGCCAGCCCCACCAACAAAGTCGGCTCCCCGGTCAGGTACCAGAAGAAGATGACGTAACTGTATTTGAATAAATGTAGATTGTTGTATTATACTTAATAAAATAAGACATCCCCTGAAAATAAGCCCTTGTGTGTCTTCTTGAGAAAAAATAAACATAAGACAGTGTCTTATTTTTGGGGAAACACCGTAGTTATTTTGTCCTTTTGCCATTTTCTGCATTAATAATTACGTTGCTTGCAAGTAGGGACATACAACATAATTGGGACAGCTTTTTTTCTTTCTTTTCAATTTTTATAAATTTATCATTGTTATAGCATTATCCAAGACCTTCAGTAAAACGTTGACTAGAACTGCTGAGTGGACCTCCTTGCCTTCTTACCAATGTGAGGGGGAAATGTCCAATGCTTCAACACTTAAGTAGGCTTTTTATTAGTTGTCATTATAAGGATTAAGGGAAATTGTTTTCTTCACCTGTGAAAGGTTTTATACATGTGTGTG